CCTCACTTTGTAAAATATATGGTCCTTTCCCGTCTGTATCTACTTCTTCTTCCGGTTCAACTTCTAAGGTTTCTGGCTGATTAGGTCGAACATATAGTAAAAAAATATATATATATTCACAATGTATACAAATAAACATCACGTTTTCACATTCACCCATGGGTTTTTATATTAATAATCACTAAAACTATTTCCCATATTTGGAGTTTACAAATTGCATCAAAAAATAATATTGGCCTATTATCTTTCTCAATCATTAATGTTTTCTATGGTTTTTCAGTATTTAAACAAGTAATCTAATAAATTTGATTTGTTTCATTCTGGTCTGTCACACTAACAATATTATAAATATTAAATTGATAGAAGAACAAAAACACACAAAGGAAAGTAATAACCAACACAACATGTTCAACCTCATAATACATCATCAGTACACGCACACACTAACCTCACAGACACAGAAGTATAAATACGCAGCATAACACACACTAGAACAGTAAAAACAGCACAGTGCATCACAAACAACCACAGGAAGACATCAAATGTAGGACGAAACAACAAAATTCCTTTAAAAAAATTATTACATAATAGGGTTGCTAAAATAATACAATACCCATAATATATTTCCAGAACCTTCTCAAGACATACAGGCGGCACAAGTTCGGGCCCCCATCAGGAGAGGTGAAAAGAGAGAGGACACGAATCTATTTGGTTTATAAATTCTAACTTAACAAAAAATTTTTTTTATTTTAATATATCAAGACAGCCTCCGTAGTTGTGCAAACTTTGGATTTTGTACCCATTTGTGTATTGTCAGCATTGTATGTATATATATCTTAACACTCAAAACACCTATTGTAATAGTGGTTTCCAAACTGTATCGATGTCCCTCTGATGATGGTCTCTAAGGACCGAAACATGTAAGAGCATGAAGAATTGAAATAACAAAACGAATCACACTGTACGGAACTGTGTTATCTTTTTATAAGTAATCTGATAGTTTCAATACCCTTTATGGCTTAAAATTAATGTTTAATGTTTAAATTAATTGGAAATAAGTGTGCCAAAATTGAAATAAACAATTCATTGTAGTCATTTTCCTTATGTGTAATTTCTATTGGTAAGGTGAAGCAAATAGAGGACCAGCATTTGGTAGTTGGCAGATAATGCCATGGAGGAATACTGCACATGCTTGTTGTAAACGTTGCATAAGGTGGATTTTGCAGGTTAGAAGCAGTGTAAGTTTTTCATATTATTTATCGATTTACTCCATTTGCCTATTAAGCCATTTTTTTCCTATTTCATTAAGCCCTCATTTTACAGAAATGTCTGGTAGTCCCATGTGGCAATTTTTCAAGAGGTGGCTTTACTCCTAGGCATACACACAATTCTAATCAAGTTAGTGATGAAGAATCACAAGCTTCTGACAAATTTCATTGCATTAATGATTCAAGTCATTCTATTCCATTGTGCCTTGTCTGTGGCAAACAATTTACAAATGCAACAACAGCTCAAGCAAAATTGAAATGATACAGAAAATTATTTTAAACAGCCACTGGATTCTCAAAACCAACAGATTAAAACTTCTGTTAGTAGGGTGACATCAGTGAACAGGCTCAGGAAGCAAACTTTTTAGTGCTAGAACTTAATGCCCAGAAAAGAAAAAAGTCACATAGTTTGTGAGAACCTAATAATGCCAGAATGTAAAATCACAGTTGGGTAAAATGCTGGGACAAGATGCAGTTTGAGAAATTGAAAATGTTCCACTTTCAAACAGTATGATAAATAGACCTATTGATGACATGTCACGTCATGCTGAAGAAGTTGCACATGATAAACTGAAAAAAAAACAGTCAACAGATTTCACCAATAAAGGTTATGTCGTAGCATTTGTAAGAAGCACACACACATGCTTGTTCGAAGGCTGGTTTCAGTAGTCAAAATGGCGCCCATGCTTGAGGGTGTATTACTGAAGAGCAGAATTCTGTTGCGTATTTTTTGTGAACAAAAGTACTCAACGCAAGATATTTGTAAAGAAATGTTTCCTGTATACAGTGAGAAGCATATGTTGCATAAAGCAGTTCACATCTCTCAGGGACATTCGGAAGTCGCAAATAATGCATGATCAGGTCGCCCTGTTGAGATTGTGACAGAAGCAACTGTGCTGCAGGTGGAAGAGTTGATTCGAGCTGACAGGAGGATAGCGATATGGAGTGAAGCAACTGCACTATGGTGTTCCCATGGTTTAGCATACAGCGTAACGCATGCCTGAAGTTTTGAAAAGTGTGAGCATGGTGGGTGCCTGGAGCGCTGAAGGATCAGCAGAGAAAAAATGAACTAAATGGGTCTGTCCTTGCCATGTATCTTAAGCTATGCAGATGGAGAGGATATGCTTACAGGATTGTTACTGGGGACGAATCATAAGTGCATCACTACAAACCCAATTCAAAGCGTGCTTCAGTGCAATGGAAACATTCCAGTTTACCTTCAACCAAAAGATTTATTGAAGCTTCAGGATGCTATTTCCTGAGGTAGTGCTTCATTAAGACAATGCCAGACCCCATAGAGCCTGAGCAAGCCAGGAAATAATTCAAGAACTACAGTGGGAACTTAGGCTGAACTTCAGTATGTTTGGTCTGCTTACAACCATTTGGTCCTTGATGTTTCACTGATGACAATAGGTTGAAATGGAGGTGCAGAAGTAGCTGAGACAACAGTAAAAAGATTTCTATGCTGCAGGTTTTGACACACTGTAAAGCGATGGGGCAAATGTTATCAATGTTGGTGGGGAATTTGTCAAGAAATAAATGTTTTCCCCAGGTTCGAATATCATGTTTTACGTTACATATTCATTTGTGACCTATTTACTGACTCTCCCTCTCCTCTTCATATCTGAAAACAAAAGAGAACTGTGAAGGCATCTGTACTGATGCTGCCCCATCAATGGTTCGCTCTGTTAGTGCTTTCACCTCCTTTGTAAAAAAAAATCCTGATGCCACAACACACTGCTTTATTCCCAGAAAGGTGCTGGTTTCAAAAAATTCTTGGAGATGAAATGCAAGAAGTTTTGGATGATCCCATAAAAATGGTTAACTTTATCAAAGACCAGTTCACTCCAAAATTTAAAAAAAAACTGTGTGGAAATTTGGACAAAAAGCACATTTTACAAGTCTGGTGGATTAGTAGAGGAAGGAGAATCAGGATAGCAACTGACTACAGGCTGAGTTCGAGTCCTGGTAGGTTCAAGAATTTTCTCTCATCATCCAGACCAGCCTTGGGGCCCGCCCATGGGTACCAGGACCTATTTCCCCAAAGGTAAAGTAGCTGGGGCATGAAGCTGACCACTCACCTCCAACTAGTGCTAAGGTCAAGAAAACGTGGATCTATACATCCACTCCCCATAAATCTTCATGGTGTAGTGCTTAATTATTCCTACTGAAAACAACCTTGAAGAAATGTGAAACAGAACTAAACATTATTTTCCCTCCCCTTCAACACAAGTGTGTGACTGGGTGAGGAGCCCTTAACCTGTATCATCTGCTCTGCCTGAGAACTTTGTTGCCTGCATTCTGATCATACACGAGAGACTTATTGACCTATCCTGCCATTCACAGCAAAGCAATAAACATACTGAAGCAGTTTTTGACTTCTGACATGTGTAAACAAACTTTTCTTGTTTAACAAACATGAAGAGTGAAGACAGAAATGGTCTCAGTCCAACTGGAGATGAACTCCATGTGTGCTTATCTAAAGTTCGACCATGAATTAAGTATTTGTGCAGCAAAAACAAGTACAGTGGAACCTCGCTAAACGAGCATAATTCGTTCCAGAATCTTACTCGTAATGCGAAACACTCGTTAAGCAAAACAGTTTTCCCCATATAAATTAATGTAAAATACAATAATGCATTCCATGCCGAAAAAAATACTCAAAAAATTTTATGTATAAAGTTTATTCAAAGAAAATTATATATACATTGTTAAGGAGCGTGAATCATCTTCATCTTTTCTTCTGTGTGGAATGAACCAACCTGGAATGCGAATTCGATTTGCAGAAAACAACAAAAAAAAAAACGAAATAATTAGTTTATTATTTATGATACATATCTAATTCTTTTTTACTAGAAAGCTGTCTAGAGACATTTGTTTTTGCCGACGCTTCAAAATTTGGTGAAAATGCGACACAGCATTATCATTACTAGCGAGCATAGCCACTGCCTTATTAGGGTGATGCCAGCGGAAAGAGTGCTAAACACAGATTGATGTAGCAAGCGCACAATCCGCCGGGACTTCCTCTCTCATCACTCGTTAAGTGAGTCATTTTTTTACAATTTCTTTTGCTCGTTATGAGGGGTGCTCATTAAGCGATGTTCGACTGTATGGGTTTCAGATTAAATAAGTAAAGATGATATTCTTGTTCATATTGCTTTGATTTACTGTACGGTTTTCAGTAACCTTACTCTTCAACACTGTTAATAAATTTCCATGTTATAAATAGCATTAATTAAGATCAGTTTACATTACAACCAGTTGAGAATGGCTCTATTAGATAAGAAATGCCATACCAGGTTCCCACAAAACTTTTAGAATATCAACTGTCCGACAATTGTCAAACTGCACCCACAGGCAAAGCATCTTTTCCGTTGCCTCATTTTCCACTGAATTAAGCCATGTACGAATTACAACACAATCTTGTACAAATAACACAGTCCTGCATCACATATAGCTTAATGCCTTTTATAGGTAAAGTTGCCCTTGCGCTTAATTAAGCTCTACTCCATGAAGGCATATTGGGGAATGGTTATATAGATCCACATTTTCTTGACCTCAGCATTGGCTGGAGATGAGTGGTCAGTTTCATACCCTGGCCACTCTAGCCCCTAGTACCCACTGGATAGGAGGCTGGATGGGCCCCAAACCCAGTCTGGAAAATGTGGACAATATTCTTGATCCTACCAGGACTCAAACTCCGACCCCTCAATCATCCAGTCAGTAGCTATACTGACTGGACTATCCCAGCTTTTATATAAACTAAAATTTCAAAATGATATCTAACTCAAAACTTTCTGACCAGCAGACATAATCACTCGCCCCAGAATTAAGCAGAGAAAACTGGAAAAGGTGTACAATGGCCCAAAACCAAAATGTACAAATATCGGCCCAGAAATGCTTCAGTAACAAACTATAGCCATTCAACCATGTTCTGGCAACAGCAGGATTAAAATTTTAGTTACGAAAGAAACATATTAGTTCAGATTGAGTTGAATGTCATTACACATACACAGAATTGTGTCCACATAACAAAAACATATGCTAGCAACACTTTGAAGGAAACTGGAGGTTATTGTGGCTAGTGAGCAAGTCTTTAAACACTACCACCTTCTCCGTTCACCAACAAAACACACAGTTGTCAATTTTACAGTGATACTGAGTTAACTACAAGTACAGTGCGTACAATCAAGTGCGCGCCGCGGCTGCAATTNTGTATCATAAGGTATTCATTTCCAGTGAACTGTACAGTGTCACTGTGCTTAAAATGCACTACACATTCCCAGAACATGTAGATAAGCTGTAATTGTCAACAAAGCCTGTGGTAATGGTGCAGCAGCTGTTAAGGCTGTCTGCAGACTGGTCATCACATCAGTGACAGATACTATCCTCCCTTCAGCAGTAGATACACAAAAAAATGTGCAGGAGTCCATACTGAGACACAGAGACAATAAACCCACACCACCTTCACTGAATACAAGCTGCACATGTGGCACACTGACAAGTTTGCAGGTTCTCTGAACAGTGTCTGCACCGGCACCATCTGCAATGACTACAATCTCCAAGCCTGCTTGATTTTCACCCACACCAAGAACTCTGCCACTGATTCCTTCACAATTTGGTGAAGTTCTTGCTTTAGCAGCCATGCACTCTTCACTGACAGAAGCAGGGCTCGTAAGGAATGGCATACAAATATCCATAATATTTGGAATTACGTAAACCTACATAGTACAAATCATTCCCTATATCAACAGCAGTTCCCAAATATTTGGGCTGGAACTGCTGCAGACACTTTCACGAGCCACATTTTGACTATACACTTGGTTTTTTTTTACCAAATTTTTAGAGCATACTCTAACAGAGTTACTGCACACTGTCCCTCTGAATATTTAAGAAGTGGCTCGTGCATGATGGTCCCTGAGCCCATTTCAGTTATAATGCCAGAAATTACTTTCAAACTGCCTACAATGGGTGATGGACAAGAAACCAGGTACCAGTATCCTGGCCCAGTCATTCACCACACCTAAATCCCCTTGATTTCTTCCTTTTGGAACATATTTTGTTTAAAAGGGAAGTTAGTAGTAATAAAAGGCTAGTTATTCACATTATTCATTCTAATCTACCAGTTTCCTTCATAGGTGTCTCTCTCACTCACTGAACTGAGTCTGTCTTGAGAAGCTGCCAACTGTGCAGCTACTCAAGAACTTCTTGGCATTTTATGGAACCCAAAGCTTCATTGCTGTGTTCACAAGGGCCTTCTACTGGTCCCTATCCTCAGCCAGATTAATCCAATCCATACAATCCCATCCTACCTCTCTAAGATCCATTTGATATTGTCCATCCACCTATGTCTTGGTCTTCCCAGTGGTTCCTTCCTTCTGGCTTTCCCGCCAATATCCTATATCCATTCCTCCTCTTCCCTGTTCGTGCTACATGCCCTTCCCATTTCATCCTCCCTAACTTGATCATTCTAATTATGCTTGGAGAAGAGTAAAGGTTACAGAGCTCCTCATTATGCAGTGTTCTCCAACCTCCTGTCACTTCATTTCTCTTTGGTCCAAATATTCTCCTCAGCACCCTGTTCTCAAACACCCTCAGTGTATGTTCCTCCCTTAAAGCCAAGAGACCAGGTTTCACACCCATACAGAACCACAGGCAAAATTATAGTTTTGTATATTCTAGTTGTTATGTTTTCAGACTCGTAGGTGTCTCTAGCATACATTAATTTTGTAACCAGTTCCAATCCTATAGTTGCAGGAACACCTCTGAATGGCTTCTGGACCCACATTTACATAACCAATTTTCATTGTCTTGGACATCATTACTCACCCTCCAATTTTCTGTACATCTTTCTGGGACATCATGTATAGCAACAAAAACAACTTTTGATTTATACAGCTATGCTGTAATTACAATTTTTATTACAGTCCGTCTCAACACAATACAAATTAGCTTAGCTAATTTTAGCCTTGACCACTGTATTGTTGTGTTGCGAAAGACTCTAATAAAGAATTGTATATAATAACACAAGAGGATGCACAAAATGAAAATTATGATGTAATTGGTTCAGATGAGCACAGAGCATGGCAACAATATGAGATCTATTGTAACTGAACACACAAGCAGAGCCTTGCTACCTACTTCAGGGTTCCTTGCTTGGCTTACTATTTGACCCTGAAGATGGAGACAATATGTTCCTCTGAAACACCAACTGACTTCTAATGGACCACACGGAGTTATAGTCAAGTAGACAGAAACCATCCTGGCCACTGCTGAGAACCTCAAACCCTAGAAGAGCTATACAGGAAACAATTTGGCATACCTCTGTCACAATGTTTATAGTAAAAATTAAATTGTCCACCATTCAATTTTTTTTATTGAACAAAACTGTTTTGTTTATAATACAGCACACAGCAAGAAAACACCATACTTTAGAATCTCAGCTTCTGGAAGAACCACTTGTTTTTCCCAGACTTGTACCTGCAACAAACAACATTAGTGTAAATTAAAAGATGCTACAAAACTTATGATCTCTTGTTTACAACTCATACATCAGGAGTGGGAAGAAGCCAGTCAGTGACCTAATACAGCGTGACAACACTCTGAACCTACTGCATGGCAACATATTAAGACTGCAACAAAACATTTGAGTTATGTTTTTTCAGAATAAAGAGACCCCCACACATTACACCAAGAATATTTATGCACTTCCTTACTGTAACAATGATATCATAAATTAGAATTTATTTTCAGTTATATACCGCCTACAATGCAATATCAAGATTTAAAATTCAATCCTTCTAAAATCTGTCACTGCGCTATACATCTCGGCCTACTTGGCCATCGTCAGGTGCACTAAAATTTGGGGGAACTACTGTACCTTCCACACTACTGTGATCAGTGTTTTCATACTAAAAATAAATTCTAATACCAACTGCAACAGGATCTAAGATACAACATTATGATACCCTCAAACAAATACACTTACCTTTCCTCAAATTTCACCTTAGCTTGGAACCTTGCCTTTTTCCTCTTCATGGGATCCTTCAGGTCCTTAACTGTTATCTTCTCTAAGGTAAGGTCAACCGTATATCGTGTGGGCATCAAATGATTGTAGTTCAAGACCTAAGTGTGCAAGTCAACATAATGTAGCTTTTTATAAACTACTTATACTAAAAGATAAAACTTTCACTTACACAACCTATAAGAATATCATTTTCAAGTATTTACACATTTCCAGTATAATCTATTACCAATACTTACATTATCAGCAGGTAACCTAAATAACTTTGAAGTTACCGATATCTTAGCATTGCCAACCTTAGATTATTATTTGTAAGAAAACAAACTCCAAAACCTTAGAATTTGCCTGCAACAGTAAGACCACAAAGTTGGTCTGGTGTTATGCCCTTACAGCATAATGAAGAAATTTTGAAACTTCGGAACTCCAAAGCACCTCATTGAACTATCATAATGAAGAAAGCTGGTAAATTACAGCTTGCCCAATGTGTGGCAAGAATCTTTTGTAAATGCTGAACCAGCAGATGTTACAACTGTAATAAATTCTTACTGTTTATTGAAAAGTATAAAGAGCAGCAGTCTTCCATTATATAATCCTTAGGTTGGCAACTAAGCAGTCTAATACCAAAACACTGTACCAGAATTAAATCATTTACTCACACAAATTTAATTTTAACCATGGTACAGAAAAGTACATGGTTCAAAGTACACAAGTAAACTTTGACAGTCACACATGATGGCAGCAGTACCACAGTAAATTACCAAATGAGTGAAATCCATTTCACTAATACAAAGATAAATTTTATAAATCTACTGGAACATCCACTCAGAATCCAACAAAAGTCTCATCTGTTACAAAAGTCGCCACCCTGGTTCAGGCATCTGTCCCATTGCACCACTAGTTTGGAGATGCCACTGTTGGAATTTGGCCAGTTGAGCATGGAACCACAGCCAGACAGCGGTTTTCGCGTCGTCGTCAGATATGAACCTCTGGCCTCCCAGGACCTTCTTCAGTGGACCAAACACGTGGTAATCACTGTGGGCGAGGTCACTGTCACTGCAGATGAAATGTGGGCATTGCATTTCACTCCAGAATCCAAGCAGCAGACTATGGTGTGGGAACATCCCGGTTCGCCTGTCAAGAAGAAATTCCGTAGAATGCCATCAGTCAGGAAGTTGATGGTCACAGTCTTCTGGGATCGCCAAGGACCACTCCTGCTGGATTTCATGCCATGAGGTGCCACCATCAACACAGACAGCTACTGTGGCACACTCGCACGTCTGCGAGCTGCCATCAGGAAAAGCGCCTGGGGATTCTTGTGGACGATGTGGTTCTCCTCCATAACAATGCCAGGCCTCATGTGGCAAACAGGACCACCACCCAACTGCACTCATTCGGATGGGAGATTATGGAGCATGCACCATATAGTCCAGACCTCGCCCCCAGTGATTACGTGTTCGGTCCACTGAAGAAGTTCCTGGCAGGCCAGAGGTTCATATCCGACGACAATGCGAAAACCGCTGTCCGGCGGTGGTTCCACGCTCAACCGGCCAAATTCCACAACAGCGGCATCTCCAAACTAGTGGTGCTATGGGACAAATGCATGAAGCAGGGTGGTGACTATGTGGAAAAATAGTCAAAGGTACTTAGAGCACTGCCCCTATTTTGATTTCTCTGTATGTGTATTATTGTGGCTGAAAAAAAAATTGGGCGAAGACTTTTCGATTTGCCCTCGTATATGTGAAGAGATTTTTAAATCAACGATCAGAAAAACAGCTCCCTTGCCACATGTTCTTGATCAGACTACAAAAATAAAGTTCCTAACAATAAAGAACCGAAACGGGCTGTATCAAACTTTCAATTTAATGCTGACTTTTGCTATGTGTGCTTCTGGTGTAAAAGATCCAAAGAACTACAATTTTGCCAAAGTGACTAATTTGATCCTCTCACCTTACACTATACCAAATATATACTTAAGAAAATGCTGTTCATCTTAAACATACTAAATAATCTTCCTAAAAATGAATCGGTCAGTAAGGCATACCTTGAAAAGACAACATTATTGCAGAAAATGCCTAGCTGTTTAAGGCAACATGTAACACAACCACTTCGTTTTGTGAAAACACAGCATTGATTTTTACAATAAATAACTTTTCTGTATCTGTAATGTCACTGGTTGCATTACAAAGAAGTGAAACACATAAAAAACACACCTGTTATACATAATTGGAGAATAAACAACAAACTATGTCTTACATAAATTCAGTACTCATCAAATGGGGGGCACACAGTAGCATAGTTGGTTGAGGCACTATTCTCCAAGCCAGAAGGTTGTGGGTTCACTTCCCAATGACGTCACTGGATTTTTCAATTGAACTAATCCTACAGCTGGGGTCAACTCAGCCTCTGACAGACAGAAATCAGTACCAGGAATCTTAGTTTGGAGTAAAGGGCAGCCAACGCGTAAGGCTGACAACCTTACCACCACCTATGAGCCAATTGTCTTGTTACACAGATAGCTTTACCTTTACTCATCAAATGGAGTATTCTTCCAGTAAGGGTGATATTCAAATGCCCATTCTTTGTCTAGCAGGGTATGTCAACATGAAAGTAAATCCATGCAAATACAGGCTACAGTAGTCCCTAGTTTCATGACTTCATGATTCGGTGTACCAACTAGGCTACTGGCTGCACAGCCGAGGAACTGGACTCTAGCTTCCAGCAGAGGCAAGAGATCTCTTCTAAACAGCATCCATATCAGGCAAGGCCCATCAAGCCTCCCATTCAATAGTTACAGGGGGATATTTTCACAGGAATAAAGTGGCCAGGGCATGAAGCTGACCACTCACCTCCAATCAGTGCCAATGTTAAGAATAAATCTTCACTGTACAGTGCTTAATTCAGCACAGGGACATCTTCACTTTATGTATTTTTAAAAAGCACTGTGAAAGAAGGAAAACTGGTGTGAGAAATCCATAAAGGCAAACAGCCTGCACAGAAAAAGGAATTTATGTATTTCAACACTTTTCTGATCCAAGACAAAGGTAGCATCCTGCACTTCATTAATTAAGCACCATGCCATGAAGACAAATCAGTGTGCTGGGGTACACCTCTACCTATAGCACTAGATGGAGGTGAGCAGTCAGCTTCATGCTCCAACTGGGAATGCCCCCCCCCCAAACATCCATGGTACAGGAGGCAGAGTGGGTCCCAGACACAGCCTGGATACTATGGGAAGAAACCCTTGCCCCTGCCCGGAATCAAACCCCAATTACCTGATCACCCAGACTGTCACCACAGTGAGACACTGAAAATGAAATGGGTGTCATGAACTACCAATTTATATAGTGCAGAACAGAAATTGAATGAATTCCACTATTTTACAACAAGTGTAGGAAACAGAGAGAGAAATCAGCCCTTCATGAAGATAGTATGTAACAAACTGGCACTGACTTATTGTAAGCAATAAACATGTCACTTTTCTTTCATCTAACCACACATCCTTCTTTGGTATGATGGAGCTAAGCAAGGAAACAATCTAAAATCATTGTGCTACTTCATTTCTTTTCACACTTTGATTCTTTTCCACTTCTATGATTTGTAGTTTCTCATGTAGCGGAGCTGAATCCTTCTTGTCGCAGAGATCCTCAACAATTTCCCAAAAATTTTATGGAACCCAAAGGTTCATTAACATGTTCACAAGAGCCATCCACTGGTCCCTATCCCAAGCCCAATCAATCCAGCCCCTACTGCATCATACCAACTCTCTATGATCCATTTTAATATTATCTACACACCTACATCTTGGTCTTCTTAGTGGTCTCTTTCCTTCTGGCTTTCCCTGCATTCTTATTTTCCCAATATCCCCTTTTTCCCCATGCTACATGCCCTGACCATCTCACCCTCCTTGACTTCATCATTCTAATTATATTTGGAAAGAATATAAGTTATGAAGAGCCTAATTATGCAGTTTTCTCCAACCATCTGTCACTTCATTCCTCTTTGGTCTGAATATTCTCCTCAGCACCCTGTTCTCAAACACTATGCAATACACATTATATACCTAATTGCATCACAAAATTGCAGTTTGCATAGGGGCAGTGCCCCTGTGTCCCCTTCCCCCACATATTATAGCAACACAGGTTTCCCTTTCCAATGTGCTACAGTCACCGATTACCTTCACTTCCCTTCCCTTTCATTCTGTTTCACAAGATGACAAAAACACACATGCACACACAGGGCAGTATTCTCACAACGTATCACCTTTACGTCCTTGTACATCATAGAGGTGTTGTGTGTTATTTTAAGAGATATAATATATACACTATGAGAAATACTGATTTATACGAGTATAATACTAGGAGGAAAGATGATCTTCATGTACAACTATGTAACACAACAGTTTTTAAGAAAAGTGTTATTAATGTGGGCATTAAATTATATAATATACTTCCTTTGGAAGTTAAAAAGTCAAAGGGATGTAATGAATTTAAACATAAATTAAAATTATTTTTATTTGATCGTCCTTTCTATACATTGAATGAGTTTCTTCAACAGGGACATGAGGAAGCATAGCAAGGTTTTTTTAATTAACAAAAAGAGAGAAAAGGGAATTGTAGTAGTTATTGTTATATTTTTAAAATTCTTAGTGATGTTGTAAGGCAAGTACAGTTTTATTTTTAGTCTGATACATTCTTGGATTATAGAGCTTTTAACAATGATGTATTTAGTGAGTTGACTTGTTCAAGTGTTGCAGTTGTAACAGCATGAATGCAAATAAATATGAATATGAATCATGAATATATGGCACATGTTAACACAGCCAGCAGTGAATCTCAATTCCTTGTAGTTCACCATGACTTTCTGATGCCTGGTCTCAAACCACAATACGGCTCAGAGCAATTACGATGTCACAATAAGGGGAAAAAAGGTACTGTCAACCTTAGAAATATACCATTAAAAACATAGTTTCAAGGGTTTCTCGAAGTGCACTGTCCTTACATTCCAAAGTTCTCCAACCATCTCATCTGCAAATGGGTGCCCCAACAAAATCATCACTGCAAATGCCAGAAAAATGTACTTCATGTTTCTACTTTTTCTACAAGAAACAGTTAAAAAAAAGATGGCACCTACTCCCAAACTCCACTGCCCAAACTACCAGATTAAAAAAAACTGCGAAAATCACTAAACATCTGTACATCCTGATATTTTAGCTCAATTATGCAATCTATCACAACTTATACAAAAATGATGTACTAGTTGTGTGAGCGCATAGAAAAAATCAACAGAATTACTGCTTCTTCAGAATTTGTTTCACCTAAGAAATGACATACATGTGCCGCCTCAGGTGTCTTAATTATTCATGTAAACAAAAACTGAGAACTTCTAGTTCTTCCCTCTCCCTACAAATATGCATCATAGTACAACCAAGAACGTTTACCTTCACAAAGGGCTTAATTTTTGACCTCTTGTGTATCTTTGCTTTCCCCATCCTTTTATGGACTCTTCTCGGATATCGGTCAATGCCTGCCACCAGTGCATGCCCATACTGCTTATCAGACGTACCATCATCGAAGTTCCTCATTACAATTGCCTTCTTTCCAGCATACCGGCCACTCAGGACCAGCACAACTTTGTTGGGCTTCATAATCTTCCCCATTTTAAATCTGAAAAAAAAAATTGTGGTGTGAGAAATACTTGGTAACAAAAATAAAGATGGAAACACCCTTTAAAACGAAAATAGAATATCAGGTGAATTATTTAAGAAATATATATATTATTTTACTAAAACCTAACATGTGTAACTGCAGTGACCAACAAAAACATTTGCACACCTTTACAATATGTTATTTCACTGCACATGCAATTGACCATTAGGTACTATTCCTAAAAATGGTTTCTAAAAAAATAAGAGAAAATGCATTCTTTCTTACATTTAATAAGTGTCAATATATTTCTCAGATGTATCACGATTTTACAACTTTATCGTCCTTCGCCTGAGAACGAACATAACAAAAGAATACGCCGGAAGCGCCGGAAGTTCCATCCGTATTCAAGACATATCCAAAGATGGCTCTGCAATCAATCGACTTGTACTGGTGTCGCCATAGTTGAGAGCGGTAACCAGACGGTGAATAGTGGTAGCGGTAGGGGCAAATTGAGAAGAAATGAAAGAAGTAAAAGTAAACCCATCTCTGTAACAGGCCCTGAAGGCCCATAGGGTTGTAAGACGTTGAGGGTCCCACGTTATCTAGACAATCGGCTCAAAGATGGCGGTGAGGTTGTCAGCGTTACGCGCCAGCCGCGCTTTAGTCCCAAGGAAAATTAATTAATTACTGGTACTCATTTCTGTTAGAGACTGAGTCGACACAAAGGCCATAGTGCGGCTGGAAGGGTTAGGTCAATAGAAAAAAATCCCATGACCTCATCGGCACTTGAACCCGTGACTTTCAGGCTTGTAGCAGTGCCTCAACCAACTATGCTATCATGTGCCCCTTTTGTATTCCAAAAATGCCACATTCCTTCTCAAGGTGCTGAGTGGATATTTTCGGGTACCGCTCTACTACATTTTTAAATTAAATTCCAATATATCATTGGCTCTGGTCTCAACAGTGAATTTTGCTAAAACAGTTAGTACAGTGAGGATCACTCTTTACCACATCCACCTTGCAATATGCTTCAACCCACCTTTCTAGTTCTTTGACTGTGGAACCCAGAAGAGATGGTTACAGTACATAACATGTCACCAAAAAGAATTTTAAAATTAATTTAAGCAGTGCAGCATTCATTCTGGATGGTGTAAGGAACGTAAAGGAACAAGCCATTTTATTGGTGACATCCTTCCCAAATAGTGTAATGGTACAATTAATTCATCAATACAAATACACATATAAAATACTTTATTCAAAAATGTTATCAACTAATTAATATACTTTCACTATACACAAACTTGCGCAAACAAAATACATAAAACAGTTACAGAACATAAAAACATTTCTAGCCTAGGTTTGTACAAGAATACTGTAAAGTTACTTATCATTAATTTACTGTTGACACAGTAATGTCTCCCAAAATGAAGGCCCAGTACCATGATATTTCTGATACGTCCAGTTTTAGATGTTATTGCTACTTCATGCTTCACACTGTCTGATGTTTGCATCATGCCATCAAAATAATGAAACAAAAGCAGAAATATGATTACTCTAAAAAAAAGCTGTTGACTGAACCCTCACAACTCAAGGGTTGCCAACTCAAGAACCAAATGTGTCAGAAATATTCAGTTTAGAGCAAAACACATACAAAAGTGATACTCATACTCATAAAGCATAATTTATTCACACAGTGAACCTCATTTTTGAGTACTCATTAAGGCGCCTTTTTCTATCAACTAATAAACAATAAATTTTCAAACAGATTCTAAAAGGTATGAATTTTCAACTTCCATCATACTTCAGTTTCTGCTTAATGGAGTGGGTTAGATATGTTTCATAGAGAGACCATGGGAAGCTGACAGTATATAGTAAAATGGTTTTAACCATTCAATTTTTAATATTTCCTGCCATCTGCCAAATCCCTTAAAGAAACGGGCCACAACTCTTTCACAGTTTGAGGTTCTTTTGATAATAAATATGTTCGAGGCTCCCAATCTATAAACAATAACTTAAAAATGTTATTTAATATTTAAACCTGTATCATCCAGATTTAAATCTATTTCTACTATAGAGCTGATGGCCAGATGTAAATAATGTGATACTAAGCTTTCTGGGGCCTGAAAAACCAGAGCATATGCCAGCGGTTTTACAATGTGTGGATGATAAAGGTTAAATACATAATTACTTATGAATTTGATTTATTTCCACTGTATTTCACGTTTGTAATTTTATGTGATTTTTTATTAACATGCTATAGCTATGAATGAGTCCATTAGCATTTTTGGTAGCTCCCAGTATAAAGTTTCATGGTCTGAAAATGGACCATAATTTCCATGATGGTCTAGAGCAGTGGTTCCTAACCTTGTCTGATTCACAGACTAGTAAAACAGCAATGGACTTGCCAAGGATCAATATCTGTCTGTCTCACATTTCAGGGTTCAAATAATGGCCAACAAATTAAAATATTATTAGCATGTCTGACATTTACAAGATAAATATTAACAGGTATTATAGGGAGGCAGGATAGCTCAGTTTGTATAGTGACAGGCTATGAACTGGATGGCCAGGGTTCAATTTCCAGCAGGGGCAAACAATTTTTCCCCTCTCCACAGCAACAAGACCCACTCTGGGACCCACCCAACCTCATATGCAATCAGTACCAGGGCTTCTTTCATGGGGGCAAAGCGGCAATGGCGTGAAGCTAACCACTCACCTCTACCTAACGCTGAGGTCAAGAACGAAGCTATACCTTCACTCCCCCTTGTCTTCATGGTGTGGTGCTTAATCAATTAAGCACATGGACAACTTAACCTTTTTATGTGGTATTAAAATCAAAGATATGTTATAACCATTCACACTGAATATTTACAATTAAAAGTTATGCATGTGGATATATTAAATAAAAGCTGCTGTAAAGGTACATCTCTCCTCACATTATCCAAGACTTGTATCATAGCTCTATTTCCCCATTTCTGATGGGTGCAGTGAGCAACACAAAAATTCAGTGTTCCTCACCATATTGCTTGTCACACCAATAAACACAATAAAATAGAAAAATAACTGGATTACTAACACTGAACAACCATTTAATAACTGAAAGGAAACAAAATGTTTAAAAACCTGTGGCCACAAAAGAGTACTTGTTTTAGTAGCAGAGTGAGAGAGAGATAGAGAGAGAGAGAGTGCATGCGTGTGGGTGGGTGTGCAAGCACGCGCGCTTGCATGTGTATACAAAATTAAACCTTGAAGATTGTTCTGAAATATGCCACAGACTAGCAGTGATCCGCAGATCATGAACTGAGATACAATGTTCTGAAGTGATTTTTTCAAATTTTTTTCAGATTTTCAATTTACTACACATTACTTAATATTTAATATAGCACAATCAGTATCTGTATATCTTGATTCAAAACTAACTGGTATTAACACATTTTATCAATAGTAGGATCCCCAAGTTTCCTTCATGCCAACAACCACTGCAGGAAACATAATGCAGGCCACAACAAAAAACTCCTAAGGGTATGCAATTTAAAATTAATATAATCTGTTAATGCATCACAGTATCATGCTACAGACATCCTAAAACAGAGTGCACAGATGTGTGTACGCATTAGATAAAGCAAAATTAAAGACTGTTCACTTATTTCCATATCAGTTGGTCATTAGCAATGCTTAACACTGTATTTATGAACTTACAATGCCTACATACTATGTGTAAATTGTTACATAAAGTAAAAGTAAAAAAAAAAAAGTAAAGCTATCCCCATAACAGGCCACTGAGGCTCCCACATTTTCTGGACAGTCAGCCTTATGTACCAGCCGCCCTTTACCACTCAAGAAGATACCTGGTACTCATTCTAACATGTTAATTGGTGGGTTCAAATAATAAATAACAGACACTTCAGTAATTCTTAATTTATAAATATGTCTGTAAAATTCGCTTGTACCTCATCCATGTCTGTAACTGAACACACAATAAACTACCTACACACCAGTGACTTCAACTCTCTAACACTCAGAGCGAGCATCCATTACTTATATCTCAGCTATTTACTACTGACTCATAAATGTCAGATCAGTTTCATTGTAATTTAGAGTGCAAGCCAATTATGTTTGAAATCAGAAAAAGTGCACATGATGAGTTCTCTTTACAGGCAAAATTTACAAGCTTCTGAAATACTATGAACAGGAGAAAAAGAATGCCCAGAAGATAGAAGAAAAGTGGGATACGGCCGAAAGCCACAAAGAATGATTTATGGGAGCTGAAAGTGAAGAAGTCAAGCAAAAAGCAATTAAGAAATAAGAATGGTCATCTGTTATAAGGGAGACCAAGGTCCATGAAGGACTGTTGAGTCAAGTAGTAAGTAAGTAAGTAAGTAAGTAATTAAAAGAATGACAGCTTGCAAAAATATGTATTTTAATTTCCACACTTCATACCTGTTTTTCATCATGTACAGGTAGAAAATGTATTATACAGTAAAAAATTTGGTATTTTAATTTTCTGTAAAATGTTTCATTACATTGCCAGTGGAGTAGGTTAAGTGTGCAGAACAAAACTGAACACAGCAACAAGAACAAAATTCAATGTGAAAGGGAAATTTAGGAGAGGCTGTAGGCACTGGAAGCCCCTCTCTCAAAAAGAAATATGTCTGGGTGATCATTCTACAAATCAAAGGCAGACATTTCTGGAAGCTGAAAGAGACTTAGTCATATGTGTAAAATATGTAAAACACTATGTCTGCAGTAAGAACAACACTTTGTTTTGTCATCTGTGGTTTCATAACTTGTTTCATTAAAATAACTAATATACTATGTAAGATTTGAGGCTTTCACGGCGGTGAACTAATATACTGTCATGTAAGCCTATTGAAACAGCTTTCAAGGCAAAATAATGCAAACATTTCTATATACAGTGCATCCCCAACTTATGTGAATTTGAGTTATATGAATCTGTAGATATATGGAAACATAAGTAGTCTTATTTAATAGTTTAGGTACTTCAACTTCATGGTCATGAGTATTGGTTATACAAGGTTTATATACACTGTGACATGTTGCGCAACGGAGGACCCCTACCTCCCCAGCGGCACGTGGCGCTAACGTAGCGCTCTCGTAATAGGCGAGTCATCACCCCGCCACTCTCCCCGCGGTGACGTGCCGAGCGGAGCCGAAGTTAGCCGAGTCCCCACAACCTGGTAGCTATGCAACGCGAGTCAACAGCGGTGACGTCACCAAGGGATATCGCGGTTGCTAGGCAGCAGTCAACAACTCCAGACAGCGTTACTAGCAACACGGCACCAGATGACAATGGTCCGGAACGAGGCTACATAAGGAGCAGCGAAGGCTATTCACAGTTAGTTCCGAGCAAGCCTACGAGTCAGAGTGTTATCAACAGT